TTGTCAGAATCTTGACAGCTTTGGACACCATTCACCTTCCTGAGAATGTAGTGGGATGTGTAAGAAAATGTCAGCATGTGTTGACATGCTTCTTTCACGCTGTAGTTCTGTGCTCATTCAGTTACCAATTTGTCAGGGTTTCATCTGGGATTGAAATTCCTGGCTGTCCCTTTCAAACCACCATTCTGAAACAAATCCCTTGGTGCTATCTGGGGCCTTATTTCCGCAGCACAGAAGGACATTTGACAAGTTGTGCACCAGTGTTAACTTTAGAAAGATAGGGGGCTTGTCAGTTGTGAACAAGCAAAACCCTACCTATCCATATGTGTATTTGTTTTTGCCTGTTCTAAGCCCCGGTGGCTGGATGAAATATTGGTTGTTGAAGTTCTGTCGTCAGGATTTTCTTGTCCGGGTACTGTCAGGCAAAAGTTCTGCATTTTGCTTCCATTAATAGGCTGCCAATCTTTGTGAACAGTTCAGGAATACAGTAATTTTATAATTCCAGTTGGATTTGCACCTTTAAGTGACCGATGTGAGCACACATCTTATGGTCATTGTTCATAACTGTGCTGCTTATGTTTGTATTTCTCTCACTGGATTTGCCCACCAGTTGAAAATCAGCCCTGCGGGAGTCATTTGGAAACGATGTAAGATCAAAAGAAACCAATATGGATTTTTACAGTAGTCAGGCATGCACCTTCTCCTCAGATCAGCTGATTTTGTCAAAGTTGCATGCCCAAGTAGTTCAGTGTAGCATGCGATAGCTGAATGTAGTTTCACTGCATTCATGTTCCAATCCATTTCTCAGTTTTAAATGTAACTGATTGATGTATAGATGAACTTGGAGCGTTTCTGAAGATTCATAAATGCCATCTCTAAAGCTTCCATCCAAATACCAGTTTGTGATTGAGCCTGTGAGGTCTACTGGTTTAGTTCACTTTTTGTGTTGCAGGTTTTGACTGTTAAATTGTTGAAAAAGTGTAAATTTTTACGAGTCAAATTGAGAAGCATTTTGAATGTAAATTTAATAATTGCTTTTTTCGTGGCAACAGAAATGTATAGTTTATTTGAGAGAGGACACAAGGTCCTACTCAGCCGAAGATGTGTCTTTGGCTGAGTAGTGAGTAGGACTTTATGTCCACTCTCAAATAAACAAATGTATGGTTTTATTTTCAGGTACAGTATGTGCTTTCACATAGATCTGTCAATGGGAAGTCATCCTGGTACATATTTCAGAAATATGCCTCAATAAATGTTCATAGATTGTGTCTGTGAAACTATTTCATCCACCTTAATATGGTGTTCTGCTTTTGCGTAAAAGAAACAAACAATGCAAATATGACTGCAGATCACAAATCTGTTTAATACAGAATTCATCTCCTCTGCTTAGTTACAAATCGTTTAAATGAGCAAACTGCACACTTATCCAACCAAAAGCATTTTGCTCCTAAATTAACAAAATTGAAGACCATTGTGGGTGTGATAAAAACATCAAAAAGAGACATGCTTGGGGTATTAATCCTTGAGTCATTTGTATTTATGCAGTCAAAATGTCTCTTACAACTAAATGTACTTATCAAAATGGAGTTGATAAAATAGTTGTAATGTGCATTTTGAAAATATCAAATACATGTACAGCAAAGCTATGGAGCAAACAATACATTGTATCATATACATGCACCACCGAACCACCGTGCAACCCCGATGTACACAAGACGGCCAAACAGAAATAGATTTGATTCAATTTAAAAACTCATTGGTGTTTTTGTCTTGCTATATATGAAACTCTGCTCTCTTTCCATCTCCACATGCAAGTAATCAAGGGTTGATTGTAATGAAAGCATTTACAGAAATGCAACAACCGCAACTTCATTAAACATCCCAGCTTTGTCCAAACTGGAATTTAATAAATGTACAATGTGGGGTCACTGTATGAGATGACTAGGGCTTACACACTTCAAATTACTAGGTTTGCATCTGTACCTAAAAATGACAAGCTCCAAAAATATCCAGAACTCGCTGTAGGATCAATAAGGCTCCTAACCCACCAACATTGTTCGGCATGATCAAATGATGTATTTCACACACACAAAAAACGGCCCCCAAAAGCACTCAACAAAAGAGGAATCCCTTGGAGATAAATTTTATCCTCAATGTGCAGAGGGAAATGCTGGTTAGTGTTAAGGAATACCCTTTATGGGGACAGTCAATTCAGTCTTAACAATTGGGTCTCTGAACTGGCCTTCGATCCTAGGCAAAAGGAAGATGAAATCTTTATAGAATAGTCCCATCTGTCAACACCTGCTAACGGTAAAGATGATCTGCCTGTATATTAGCAGCTATCTCTGCCTCCCACTTGTCACCATTGTTCAATAATTTCTCTTTGTTGTACAGCAGTTCTTCGTGAGTCTCAGTTGAAAACTCGAAGTTGGGACCCTGGCAAAAATTCACAAATTGATAGAATTGACAATACAATAAAATATTCTCCTAAATTTTCAACATCATACATGTCATCACTTCTAGATTCCAAGCACTTTTCTCGCAAATGTTGGTTATACGCGTATGTACGGGTACCCACCTCAACAATAGCATCAACTGGACAAGCCTCTTGGCAGAAGCCACAGTAAATGCACTTTGTCATGTCAATATCATAGCGAGTGGTGCGTCGACTACCATCTGCTCTTGCCTCGGCTTCAATAGTAATTGCCTTCATTCAGAAAAAAGAACATGAAGAAAACCTCTGAGAAAATCTTTTCATCACAATGCCTCTAGTAAGAAGACGTATGTGCAGAGTAAACTTAACAGAAAACTACGACACTTTGGCTGCCACGTCTAACATAATCCCCCAAAGTGAGTCTCAAGGCCATTTTTTTTGTGTGCTTTAGTTTGAATAAGAAAGTGCAAACTAATCTCTCCTTTTAATGCATAATTGAGTCTGTACTCATTTTAAAGGAACATGCGAGTAAGAAATGCTGGCATTCGTAGTGACAAACATTGCAAAATTCTTTCATTTCTGTCTCCAACCCTCAAAAGTGGCTCAAGTAACTTCCAACTTGTTCCGATTTGTAATGACACGTTTTAGTGAAGCCATGTATACCGGTGAATAAATGAAAGTTCACATATCAAATCTTGTCCTGAAAGTCTTTCATTCCACAAACCTGTGCAGGGCACACAGCTTCACATAACTTGCAAGCAATGCATCTTTCCTCTCCTGAGGGGTAGCGCCTCAAAGCATGCTCCCCACGAAACCTTGGACTTAACGGACCCTTCTCAAATGGGTAATTGATGGTAGCTGGTTCCCTGAATAGATAGCTCATTGTCATACCAAGGCCTAAGAGAAAACAATACACTGTCTATCACAAGATTCACTGAAATATTTGAAAATGTTAACTCTAACATGTACATCTTTCTGAGAGTCATTTTTATGGAAAAACATTTTATCTGAAAATTTCATATAGATTTTAATTTCTGTACTTCATATATACATGTAGTGGTAATGAAAGACAAATTTTAATAATTATCTCAGGAATAACATACATTTATGCATTTGAAAAACTTGAAAAATAAAATCACTGGCCACGGCGATCCAGCACGCACTACAATTCACTAAATATCTGCTTTTCAAACTTGAACTATGTCTGTACATACCTCGAAGCAATTCACCAAAGAATAGTCGAGTTGCAGCCCTGTCTGTTATCTCCTTCATGCTGTCACCTGGTTCAACATCATTCACATATTCTGAGTGATTAAACAATGGAAATGTAGGGATGAAGTACACTGTATTCACTGGCAGATCGAGTGAGTGGGGAGGGTAAGGGAACGTAAGCCCCTGTAAACAATTCATGTTGACTGCTCTGTGCATGATATGAATGACAGACAACCAGAGACTATCCATCTCCTCCCGCCAATGGCAGTCTGGATCAGCCTCTGCTATTACCATTTTGTCAAAGTTTGGTTTGCATTTTCAGCTTGGTTTGATAATAATGCAGAAAAGAAATGAAAGAGGCCTGGTGCTAGGACAGCCCATCGCCCACAAAAGCCTACAACTGATTTCCAATGGAGTCCAACTGGCCTGTTGAATACAAAAACCTAAAATAAATATAGCAGGGGCATAACACAAGTACATAAAAGAAAATGAAACGGACATTATTCCACATATCTATAAAATTTCAGAAAAATTTCAAATTCATTCAAAAATATCAATTCATACAAAAATACTGACAAGGTCTGATGTTGGCTGAGATGAAACTGTTAACAAGTTTAACTTACTGTAGCAGGTACGTGACGGAGTAGCTGAAACAGCCTTCAATGATGTCATCAACAAGGCCAAATGACCTGCAGCAGAAATTATGATTATTTAACAAGCAATGTGTCATTCCATTGACAGTTGTCCCAAACCTCCAATCCAGGTTTTAACTGCAAGTTTGGTTAGGTTTTTGGACAGCGGGTATTTTAATTCAATGTACAAGTAAGTTGCCCCATACTTCATGCATAGACTTATCTCATCAGACACCATAACTGCAGTGGCACCACATTCACACACATTCTTCAGCTTGATGCACGTGTGCATTTGGCAGATTGTGACACTCCAGTATTGGTCAAAGACTGGAAAGAGGCATGCAATGTGTTGTCTATTGATGATGAAATGGGACCAAGTCCAACCATGCCAACCTGTCATGACCCGTCGTCGAAAAAAAAACCAAAACAAAAAACCCGGCCCTGTTCCTTCCAGGGCTTCACCGTGTTCATACTTCATGTACTGTTAGTTTAAGAAAGAGTTCCATGTACGGACATGACGAACGCTGCTGGACACCCTGCACAAACTCTATGGTAGGCAGTCTTGTGTCTAAGACTCGTAACGACTTGGTACTTTCCCTCCTAAATTGAACTGTTCTGGACACGTTTTTGCTTTCTGACAGCTACTAGGTCACTGTAGGGAATAATTACTGGCGTCCGTATATGGAACTCTTTCCGGCTTGTCCCCTACCAGGTTTTGTTACGTTTGCTCCGAAGCACAGACTTCTTCCCAGCATCGCCATTTTTGTTAAATTGTATATGTAAGATCTACGGAGCTCTTGAAGGGACATAGGTGAGAAAAATAAAAAGGGGGGAAATGTTCGTTCGAACGAAAAAAAGCTCGTTCGAACATATATCGCTATTGTAACATTTGGATTGCCGTACTATGCACGTGTGATCACTTCCAGGCTATCGAATTTATTTTGTTGGAACGAATTTTTTCCCCAAATTTTTTTGTCACCCATGTCTCTTTAAAAGTTCCGTATCGGCGCGGAGACCAGATTAATTTTACATAGCGCCCCCATTTGGATTTGAGTTGGGGGCGCTGTTGCAAACGGAATCTTCGGATAGTCTCTGCTGGTCGCCCAGCGCCGGCGCGCTGGTTATCTTGATCAGTTTCAGTAATGAGGAAGAAAAAAATATTGATAAAAAAAATGATAATCGCCGCTTGTGTACGAATTGAGCAAGCTTGCAAGCCTGGCAAAAGTTACTTGCAATGCTCTACGCGTCGTTAGCTATAACTCCGTGAGACTTATTTCCTTCACTTCAATCTGTGGAAGGTCATCAGCCCTTCCCAGCGCCCTGTTCCCTGGGCGACGAACGAACGGACAATCCTCTAGATGGTGCACATGAACACGTTTTTTCAAAAAGTGAGGGATAATTTATCCAAGTTCGTTTTTGTGAAATATTTTAATTTAAGATTTCAATCTGATGACATTTTTTTCAACTTAATGTTTGCGAGAAATATATTTTTCAAAGTTCGTTTTGACGAGATTAATATTCTCCAATTGCAAGCTGTTTTGATTAGATTTATTTTTAGAAACATTGTTTCTATTTTTGGAAACATAACTTTTTACAAGATGCATTTTTTAACGAGCCAGTTTTTAATGTATGTAAAAGGAAAATTAAGATAAAGTAAGGGAGATTCCTGAAATATGTGAAAAATACATCTCATCAGGACTCGGAGGGAATTGGAGAAATTGGTAAAGGTATTAAAAGGAATTGGTAAAGTTTATTTTAACATATTCATATAAGAAAAGAGATATTCCCCTGCAATTCGGAAAATCTTACGGTGGGCACAAAGCTTAAGGCGAGCCGTTTCCGAGGTCGTGCATTTTGGGAATTTCGATTCAGGGTAGAACTATTTCGAATGAAATAAATTAATGGTAAAGATGCTTTATACACCGAGTCAAAATGTTAAAAGAGACACAGTTATTCTGACTTAGTAGTCCATAAAAATTCATTGTAATGCAGAAACCCACGGGCGTAAATTTTGTGCCAAAATTGGGGGGTTGGGGGGTTGGAGGGATGACTGCCCGGTCGTGGAAATTTGAAAGGGGGGGGGGCTGGGGTTGACACAACATACACTATAGATAGAGGGGCGATGTTCATGATGTAGATGCACAGCTGTAATATGTACATGTACATGTATAAAAATTGTTCTCCCTGTTTTGAGTGATGTCGAAAACTTTTGATTGTGTGGGAAGTCAAAACAAATTGTCACGATCCGCTTTAATTTTCTGCTCAGAACAAAAAGTGTGTGCATGTGTGTGTGTGTGTGTGGGGGGGAGATTCCGTAGCCCACCCACCCCGCCCCCAAAAGGGGAAAATTTCCGCTCTTTGCATGCTGCCGACATAGGCATGCACAGCCTCGATCTCAATCCTTATACAAGCTGGTTCAGTGATTCCCGCTTGCAGCGTAGCTTTTATACAATGCGATTGGACAATTTGAAAATCTGTGGCTGTCATATAGAGGCTCTGCATGGCTATGGCGGCAGCGTGCAGAGAGCGAATACTTCATCCCCCCTTTACACCTATGCTGATGAACCTTCATTAACTCAGTCGGCGTCTTAATTCGCAGACGAAGGAGTCTATGTTTGCAGTCAACAAAAACTTTTTTGGACATTTGTAATTGCCAGCATAAAATTGAATAATTGAAGGAAACACAAAAAATGCAGTGTTAGATAACATATTTTTGGTTTTCTGCTAACATAAATCGAGCTGTAATAAGGTGGAATATGTCCCTGCTAGTCACCTCAATGATAAATTGGCTGAAGTTTTCAGATTTCATGAGAATGACCCGTACCTGCAGACATTATAATGGAAAAAATCAGCCGATGGCTGAAGGCGAAGCTGATTTATAAAAACTAACTAAACTTGTTTGCAATTTTTCATGCAGTATCTTAATTTGATTTGCTTATTTTGTATGTGTTTTTTATTTATACCGTATAGGTTTTTACAAGTTTAGTTAGAATATTGTGACGTGAGGCCTCTAGTGTGAAGTTATAGATGGCGCTCTGCCCAGTAACATGGGAAAAGGTTAGGTGCGCATAGCTGTGTGTTAAGCAAGCGCGGCGCATAGGCTCCGCCTTGCGCGTAAGGCGATTGGTTAACGGAAGTCA